GTGTGGGGCTTCCTTCCCAACCGAGAGTTTTGGAAAACTAAGTCAACTTGACCGAGTTGACCGGGTCAGCTAAGTCAACTTGCTGAGTCAACTCAAACATAGTCAACCCGTTAACTTTGACCAGATTTGATCGTTGACTTTAACCAGAGTTGACCATTGACTTTGACTCAAAAAGTCAAAACTTTTGAAAAGTCATATTTTATGTTTTTTTACGTCCTGAGTTCGAATTCAAAGTCCATTTTGCCAACTTCAATCTCGTTAAGCCATTTTTTGGCATTTTATCTCCCAATTCAATACGAATTTTCACGTTTAAGTTTTATTTTTAATGTAATTGGTTTTGCCATGTATCCGAGACATTATGGGATGTAGAATTAAAGTTCAAGGGAGATTGAATAGAGTTTAAATGGTCTACGATATGGCTCATAAATCGAGGTAATACTCCATTACCTTTTGTATCTTTCGAAACTCATTAATTGGTAAATGCATGAATGAAAATGATTGGTTAGTTAGGTGTATTTAATTATTATTGGACTCATACTAAATATGGAACAAAATAAAAAAAACTATATAAGACTCAGACAGCTCGCAAAAAAATTAGTAGACCGATTAGAAATAATTTTAAGGTCAGTGGTTAGTTAATAAATAAATTGACCTCAAGCTCTAAAATTCTGATTAATTTCATTAAAGGTTAAATGCCAAAAATACTTGGATGAGAAATTATGAAAATACTTATGTTAGGTAAAATTATGAAAATACCCTTATGGGGTAAAATTACAAAAATACCCTTATGGGGTAAAATTATGAAAATACCCTTATATTGTAAAAAGACAAGAATTATCCCTAGAAGTGGGAAAATAATCCAAAAAGAATATACTTGATTAAATTACCAAATATGTTTGGATTGAAAAGAATTATCAAAATGTCATCGAGCTGGGAAATAACTAAAATAACCTCCGATATTCAAATGACTATATTATACGACAAAGTTGAATTAAATAGAAGTAATGTACGTATCTGAATTGTTAAAACGATCGAATTACTCTAGAAACTCTGAAGTGATCGGGATAAACTTGAATATTAATTGACGTAAGTACCCTCAATGACCAAGAATTAAGCGGATGACTTGGATAAGTCTGGAAACGCTGATGAACTTATATGTTGTACCGTCCATAAGAGTTTTGAACCACGAATCAAACACGTCGACATTTCTTGATGCCGTTGCAATACAAAAATAAAATAAATACCATTGGAATACTTGTTCGTCTCCCTAAGATCCATTCAACGATGATTCTGAATATGATCAGTTCAACTAGTGATGTCAGTGTTAAAGTTTAAATATCCTTGAAGTGCATCGATTTGACTAAGTGACAAGTATCATAGTGTTGGGTTTTGTTCAATTTGAGTTGTCTTGATATCATGATAAATCAACATGAATCTTAAATACCTTGAATCATCGTTTTACTCTTATTAGATTAAATTGCTAAGAATTCTCTAAGAACCAAATGTCCAAAATGCCCCTGATTTCCTAAATAATAAAATCACTCCTTTCATACCTAAAATCTCAAGTAACTCTGATGCTAAAGATTCTGAATACCTTTCTGATTACTTAGTGCCTCCGAAAAAAAAATATATGAATACTATATGATCTACATAAATCACTTTCGAATGACTGATAAATCCGTTAGTTATCAAACCCTTTTTTTATAGAGATCTTGATTATAAAATCCTATTAAATTACAAAAGTTTCATGGTTCCCTACCTAATAAATACCAAGTACCTCCAAAGAATAACTAGATCTTCTAGTGTGTTCCCTATGTGACATGTAATTATTTTACTTGTTTTAAAACATGATTTTCTGAAATTTACAGATTTACTGATGTGTTGATTTACTGTTAATGAACTATGACTACATGATATGTGTTCTCTAATTACCTATTTTCACTGGAAAATATAATTGTTCCTGATTTATGGATCATGAGATCTACTGGTTACCACTTGAACTATTTTATTGGGACGTTATCTGGGTAGTTTGGAGTATGAAGGTTTAGATATAATCAAGCTGGTAATTTCTTACGGACATAAGGAGACCTTGGGTAAGCTTTAAGGCACCAAGACACTCCCTTGGGTAAATCATGGGACTGTATATGGTGTATGGGTGGAGGGAAATTATGTGATATAAATAACTTCATTGTCACTCTTACGATATTTTACTGGATCATGATTTCGATATTAAAGTTACTGCTCAATCTGATTTATACTGGATATTGTAGGGTAGGATTCTAGAGTATGGAGTTTCGGCTCTGATCAAGCTGGTAATTCCTTACGGACCTAATGAGACCCTTGGGTAGGCCCATAGGCGCCAAGGTACTCCCTTAGAGTGGCTCATTTGTTGTGTGCCTAGGGTAAGTCCTTATGGATGCAGTTCTGGGAGAAACTGCATAAAGGTGTTCGGTTGGAGGGTATTACTGTGGTTTTAAAATATGTTTAAAACTACTAATATTTAAAGGATCTGATACACTCTGTTTTTTTGGAGCACACTCGACATCCTATCTGATCTCCTAAACTTGATTCTCTGAATGTTTCCTCTGAACTGAATTCTCCATGTCTTTTACTCGAGAATTCGGTGAAAACCTCATATCATCTCGAAAACTTGTAGACGTCTGAATCAATAAGGAAAATTTATGTTTTCCCATTTATCTGCATGTCATTCAACATCACTTGGTAGTTCTGTATTACTGAGCTTCTTAAAGCTCACTCTTTTACTCTTCATTTTAGGTTAAAAGAATTGATCAAATGCAACTATCAACTTCAGTATTGGGAGTTTCATTCGACTTTGCTTGCAGAGTACGACATGCAGGTCACATTTGACTTATTTTTATACTGAGTATGAAACTTGTATTTATTTATAAATTATTTTATGATTTTATACGTTTTAACAAAAAATTAATTTTTATACAACGCGTGTTTAAACTTAAAATCTGAGATCTTTCTTGTTTTTCTATTTTCTTCCTAATAAGTTTTCTTAGAATATACGAAAAAATCAAAATTAATAAATTTGTTAGGTGTCAAATTCATAAATCACATTTAATAGAGTTTAAAATTTAAACTTTTTATTTTCCCGATTAGCCGAAAATCTCCTTTTTCTGGAACTATTTTGTAACACATTAAAAATGGGTTTAAATATGACTAAATTAGGCACGGCTCCACCTGACCAGTCCTCCGACCAAAAATGAAAATCCAGAAAACGTAAGAATAGGGATGGTAACGGGTCGAGTTCGGATCGGGTATTGGTCCCCGTCTCCGTCTCCGTTTAAAAAACTGGTATTCGTTTTCGTTTAAAAAACTATGGAGATTTAAAGGGGATCCCTATCGGGTAATCGGGAAAAACCGCGGGGAAACGAGTATCCCCGTTTAGCATAAACATTTATTTATACAAGTATCGGTAGGGTTGTTCATTTGGTTAATTCAGTGGCCGAACCGACCGAACTACCATTAACCGAATTAATCGAATTTTTTTTCTTTAACCGTTAATCGAACCAAAATTTTTTCCGAAAATATTAACCGAACTCAATAAATTTGTTAATTCGGTTAATTTTTGAATTAACCGAAATTTTTTAGAATTTTCGAATTTAATACTAGAGAGCAGCTGTTGTTCCATTTGCTAGGGAAGAACGTGATGTTGGTATAGGTCCCGAGGCTGATTTTAATATGGTTAATTCACATGTTTCACTTTGTCAGAGGAACGTTAAAGCTTGTGTAATGGAGACAGCTTGTATGAGGTTATTGGAATGCGAGGTGAAAATGAGGGTTGCTGTCGAAAGACGAAGACAATATGCAAGTTGCATTGATTTTAAATTCTACTGGACATAATTTCCAGTTTGCCAATGCTAGTGGTGGGCTTCAGGTGTGTAATGGTGTACTGGACGAGGACCCTGCAACAAGTACACGTTCGTTAGAAGTGGCACAATACCACCAAACCAACCAGACTTTTCCCATTTAACTAGACAATGTTTATCTATTAAAAGATATTAAAGGTTCACACGTGATTACAAACAAGAAGTGTAAGCACTATTTTCACGATTAAAAGAAATAAAGAATATTATGAGACAGCGAAAATTGAGATAAATTCTAAAAATTGAAGCGGGGACGATGTTTTAAAATGGGGCAGTATGGGGTGAAAAAAATAATAAAAAATATTTAAGGGTTAATTTAAAATATGTTATTAATATTATATATAAAAAATAATTATTTTTAATATTTATCGGGTCGGGTAATCGGGGCAGGGATTACCAAACCCGTCCCCGTTTAACATAAACGGGTTTTTCCCGTCCCCGTCCCATTTATCATCCCGAACCCGACCCGTTAAATTCGTTTTCGGTTTTCCCCGTCAGATTCAGGTTTTTTTGTCATCCTACGTAAGAAAGGTACAAGGTGTTTAAAACCGGGTACCTGATCGGGTACCGGACTTTTTGGCATTAAAATATTGACTTGTGTCCTAGCAAAAATTATTAAATAAAAAAATATAATTAAATTTCAAGTGTTTCGAAGTTAAAATAAATATTTTAAATAATAATTTAGAATGTTAATGTGAAATAGTTTAAGAAATTAAAATTTAAAATATTAAATTGAAATAATTTAAAAATTATAAATAAAATTTAAGATAAAATAAAAATAATAAAATGTATATTGGGTCGATGAGTATCTGGTTAATCAGTATTTTTGAACTGAGTCGACGGGTCAAATCAATCTGATTGAGTATTTTTGAACACCCTACCCAATGCAGCCCGAAGTTTAAACTTTGGGCTCACTTTCACATTTGCTGAACAAGCGTAACCATCGTAACAAAATCACCGCTACTCACCATAAGCCACGTGGGGAAATGTGAAGAAATTTCTCAAACGGTCACCGATCCTTAATAAAAAATTTAGGAAAAAATTATATTCCGTTTTTATTTTTTTCCATTTATAAAATGCCTGTTGGCGTCCGCTTCAGACTCTTCTGGTTATTGGCAGTGACTCCCGATTCGCTCTTTCGCCTTAATTCAAAATTCACGCAATTTTCGTGGACGCTACGCTCTTCCTGTTTGTTGTACGGAGATGGCAAATGCAATCAAGTTCTTTGACCTGAACACCGGAGCCAAGATTCCGTCCGTCGGACTAGGAACTTGGCAGGCTGAATCTGGCCTCGTCGGCGCCGCCGTTTCCGCTGCTGTAAAGGTATATAGTTGACGCTGTTGATGATAATCACATTTCTCCGAATAATCTTTTGTTCATCGGAAATGCAGTTCTCTCATTGTATGTTTTGATGTCTGAAAGCAAAACGATATTTAGCCGTCTGTTGTCATTTTTTATCCAGATCGGATACCGCCATATTGACTGCGCTCAAATATATGGAAACGAAAAGGAGGTAAACTACGTTCTGTTTGGATCCGTCATTTGCCTTGTTTTGAAATATATTATTTTAATTAGATTCTATTGTTTATTATAAAAAAAAGCTCATATCAACGCACTATTCGTGTAGTTAGTTGTTTGTTTTCTAGCCTTGTTTTCAAAGGAAAAAATAGTGCAAAACCGATGTTTGTATGCTGAAAAAAATAATAGTAGCCGAATAGTAACTAGTAAATTATTGGTACTAATCGGATCAGTGTGTGCATCTCTGTTTGTGTTAGATCGGTGAGGTGTTGAAGAAGCTGTTTGAAGATGGTGTGGTCAAACGTGAAGAGCTATTTATCACCTCCAAACTCTGGTTCGTTTTCATTCTTGTATAATCCTTTTATCGTTGGATTTTTATTTTATTAAAGATTACTTTCTAAGACTAATTTATGCACAGGTGTACTGATCATGCCCCTGAAGATGTGCCGACAGCATTAGACCGAACTTTGAAGGATCTTCAGCTTGGCTATGTTGATTTATACCTTGTATGTATTGCTTAATCATAGCTATTCTATTGAACCATGCCAGTATTATTTATACTGTTGAATATTCTGCGTAAAAAAGTTTCTAGACTGTCTTTGAATGCTGAGGCTAAGTAGATAAGAGTTATAAAACTTTGCCTTGTCTAGTTTTAAGAATAAAATTTGAATGATGTTGAGCTTTCAACGTTAGAAATTTTTTGGTATCATTTATTATTGAAGCTGATTTTCAAGTGTGGCTAATACAAGGATGTTTGTTTGTTTTTAAGATCCATTGGCCAGTTCGGTTTAAGAAAGGCTCAGTCGGTTTTAATCCTGAGAACTTTCTTCAGCCGGACATATCTAGCACATGGAAAGCAATGGAAGCGCTCTATGACACTGGTAAAGCTCGGGCTATCGGTGTTAGTAACTTCTCTTGGAAGAAATTGGGGGATCTGCTGCAGGTGGCACGTGTTCCTCCTGCAGTCAATCAGGTTGAGTGTCATCCTTCATGGCAGCAGACTAAGCTACGTGAATTTTGCAAATCCAAGGGAGTTCACTTATCGGTGAGCACGCAAAATCTTGTTCCACTTTCTTTGAATTCTTGCCATTGTGCCTGTAAGAAGTAATGAACCGGCATATCTGTATTTCAGGGTTACTCTCCTCTGGGTTCTCCGGGCACGACATGGCTCAAAGGTGATGTTCTTAAGCATCCAATTCTAAATACGGTTGCACAGAAATTAGGCAAAACTCCTGCAGAAGTTGCTCTCCGCTGGGGCTTGCAAAAGGGTCATAGTGTGCTTCCAAAGAGCACGTATGAGGGGCGGATCAAGGAGAACTTTGACGTCTTTGATTGGTCTATTCCTGATGACTTATTTGCCAAGTTTTCTGAAATTGAACAGGTTAGTAGCTATAGCATTGCTCATAAATGTTAGTATTCTGCAATTGTGAATTACTTGTGACTTGATTAATTCTGATAACACTCTTGCCCCACTATATTTTCTCCTGAATATATGCTCGTTTTCGATTATACAGGCTCGACTTCTCAGGGGAGATTCATTTGTCCATGAGACTTTCGGTTCATACAGGACTGTGGAAGAACTTTGGGATGGTGAGATTTGAGTGATTCGTTACAAGAGTGATGGAGCAGAAGCAGCAGGTAGTTCAAAGAGGAATAGTAATAATCATTTTGAATTTGATCTTCGCATTGCTTAAACTTTCCGAAATTTTGTTTAATTGAACATGGGTTTCTCTTTTAACTTTGTGTTTTGAATAGTTGGAACTTGTTCTATGTTATTTCTGTTACTCAAAATAAAAGGATCCACTTAAACCTGGTTTAGTTTCAACCTCGAGTCAAGTCATTCGTTTTATTTATACTCAACAGTATCTACTCGAAAACCTCCATCGAAACCTAAGGTAGACGAAAAATAACAGCGTAATTACAACATAGACAGTATTTCACTTATTGATAAGATGAAGGGTAAACTATATGAATGGTCACTAATATTTGAGTAATTTTTCCCCATTTGTTGTAATCGTCCTTCAGGTAGTTTTGGAATCGGGTTACGACTTGATTTGATGTGTTCGGGTTACGACTTGATTTGATGTGTTTGAATCGCCACCGGTCAATTTAATTTGGTCAATCGGATACCATAACTCACCATTATCTGATCTACAATTTACTACAAATTTGTCGGATCCGAAATTGATTACAGTCAGGGAAGGATTAATACTCCTGTACTACTCTTTCGGTACCAATTTGATTTCCCGATTATCTTAATTAAGAAATTTAAAAGTTAAATTTAAAATTTAAATATTCGATCTAAATTATTTACCTTTGATCAATTTGAAATTGCCCTAAAACAGTCAAATTGATGTTAAATAAAACAAAATTAAATTAAAAATATATTAAAGAATGATTAATTTGGAAATAATTTAAAATTGGGAGTTAAATTGATGTTAATTGAAAGATGCAAGGAAAAAATAAAAGTTAGGGGGTCAATTTGCAAAGTATAAAAAATATAAACGGAGATTAAATTGAATTAATTTAAAATTCAAGGGCAAATTTACAATAGGTGACCAAAATGAATTACGCATCAAAATTGAAGGGACTGCAAAAATAATTTAAAATTTTCATAATTACATAGAGGCCTAAAAAAATAGCCCCAAAATAATAAAAATTGATTTAACCCATTTCACCCAAAAAAAAACTCTCTCTCCTCTCTCAACCCGCCGCCCGAACCACTTTTGACCGTCACTCCGACCACCGCCTCCAGTGGCCAGAAACCTAAATCTATCCTTTAACACTCCTCTTAACACCCTGACCCCGACTTGATTCTTCGATGCTTTTTGTTTGGTGTTCAATTGTGTTTTCCCTGGTGCATTTCTTTGTTCGATTTGCAGGTATATATATAGCCCCTCAGAAGTGTTCTTTTCCTCCTAACTCGGTGGTGGTTAGCCGAGAACTATGGGGTTGTTCTCCACGTTGTCTGACTTGCTCAGATTTGGGGATATATTACCCTCTCACCGAGGGTCGTGGAAATATGTTTCTTGTTAGCTCCGATTCTACTATGATTTGGGTACTTTGAGATGTCGAGAATCTCGGCCGGTAGGTCATCAGAAATTGGCCCAGGATTCTCGGTGCTGTTGGCGCGTGGTCCTTATGTGTCCTTTACTTCCTCTAGTGTGGCACCTTTGCTTAGTATGAAACCCTAATATGCTGGGTTAAGCAGATGGGCTTAGTTGGGCCTCCACCGAGCTTGCTGGGCCAGACTACCTGGTTGGGCTCCGTTTTTTGGATTGGATTTGGCTGGACTTGGACCTAAAATTGGACCTAAATAAATATAAAATAATATTAATAATATAATATAATATAATATAATATAATATATATAATAATAAATAATAATATATTAAATGACACGTACGTTATATTTATTTATATAACATATATTATATTTTTAAAACTATATAATATGTTTTCAAAAACTATATGATACATGTTTCAAAAAATCATTTTAAAAACTATATTATATATTTTCAAAAACTATATATATATATTTTTTGAAATTATTATATACTATATAATGTAATAAAGACCCTTGAAATCTCAACGAAAAATAAGTGTCTACAGCTGCCCCTCTTTTCCCATTTATCTTGTAACAAGAAATAGGACAAAGATAAAAGGACACAAATTTTCATTCGATAGGAATGAATTCCAGGAGCGATTTTGCTCCTGTGAGTATGATATCTTTCTCTGTGATTTAAATCTGACTCAATGTCTGTTGACTCTCTTATCGAATATCTTCCATCGCGGAGTTGAAATTCGAATTGAAAATTCTAATAGAACATGGCTCCCTGCTGTTGAGCTGAATTACATATGACTTCTTCGTCGTGAAGTTGAGTCGATTTTGAAATGTCATTGAGGACGATATCCTTTGTCATGAAGTTGAGATCGTGATTGACTCATTCGTTGTGAAGTCGAGTCAAGGATGTTTCAAGCATGATATACTTTGCTATGAAGTTGAAATCTAACTTGATGCCTGGGTTAGGCGGTAATACCATGGTTGATTTTGGGTCTTAGTCCAATATCCTTCATCGTGAAGTTGAAATTTGACTAGACGACCTTAATTAATAAAATAGTTCTTCGTCATTGAGTTGAATTATGTTGTAGATGACTACTTCGGCATGAAGTTGAGTCTATCTCGAGTATCTTGGGCACAATATCTTTCGTCGTGAAGTTAAAATCATGGGTGACTCATTCGTCGTGAAGTTGAGTCTTGTGAAATTGAAATCCAACTTGAATGTTCTTCGAGTTCAATATCTTTCATTGCAAAGTTGAAATCGACTCTGACTAAAAAATCTACAAAACTATGCATGTGTGTGATGCTATGGATGTAATGTTCTTATGTATGCCTAAAATGCATATGCAAAATATGTTATTTTATGAATTTATAGAGAAATCTTGATCTCTTGATGTCGACCTTGATTTTTCTAAAGTTTCTTGATTCTTGCCAATCTTGATTTTCTGATTCTTGGTTCTGGATTCTCTGATCCTTAATGGATTTTGATCTGATATCCTCTTTGGGATTTTTGTTTCAGAAAGAAGTCTTGATTTTCTTCTATCAAGTTCGATTTTTCTTATATTTGGATGTCTCCTGATCTTTAATCAATGCCTTTTATTTTTCTTGATGGGTTTTGAACTAGTGCCCATGTCATTCTTTCGAGTATTGTGCAAGAAATTCTATCAGCTTCCAAACACCTGTATTTTTCAGGAAATCTTTGTGCAATAATACACAATTATCCTTTTCAAGGTGAATAAATTATTCTTATTTAAATTCAATCTAAGATGCTAAGAAATTGATTTCTCTGAGATAAATGGAAATATTTATTTATGGGGAATAAAAATACATGGTAAACATTCTTAAAAAGAAAGAAAAAAATACAAATAGGCCCTAAATCTCGATAATATGGACACCTTTGAACTAGCAAACCGTTAGATGACTTTGAGTGTAGCTTTTTTCAAGGGAACTTCAAAGATTATGACAACTTTTGGAAGAATGCAAAGTCCCTCCCAAATTATTAAGTCTCCGAAGACTTGGATGTCGTGATATTTATTGCTTTGATACAGGACCTCCCCGTGTGCGAACCTCGGATCATTATCTAAGCCGCCCTTTTGGGTTTTCAGCTTGGATCCTCTCTTGGTTTCAAGATGCCCTTTTGCAGGTTTTCATCTTGGACCCACCCTTTTACTTTTCTTTTTATTTCTTTGTTTTTTTATTTTTCAATTAGAGTGCCCTGTCGGGTTTTCACTCTAAAAGTTTTTTTACTCTTCAACTTAAGGCGCCCTTTCGGGTTTTCACCCTAAGAGAAATATATTTTGACAACATCAAAGTTAATGAGATTGGGTAGTTGGGGTTTGTCTATTTCAGTTTAGATTAGTGCTCCTCCGGAGAAGCCTTTTTTACGACGTAAGGCCCTTCCCAATTTGACATCCACTTTCCTCTGAAGTCTTTTTGAATTGGCCAAATCTTTTTCAGTACGAGATCTCCTTCATGAAATATTCTTGGGCACACTTTCTTGTCGTGTGCTCGAATTATTCATTTTTGGTATAGTCGACCATGGTGAATGGCTTTCAACCTTTTTTTCTCTATTAAGTTCAGTTTATCATAACGAGTTTGCACTCATTCTGCATTATCCAACCTTACTTCTGAAAGAACCCGGAGTGATGAAATTTCCACCTCAATGGGCAATACAACCTCCATCCCATTTGCTAATGAAAATGGGGTTTCCCCAGTCGAAGTCCGCACCAAAGTTTGATAAGTAAACAAGGAAAAAGGTAACTTCTCGTTTCAGTCTTTGTACGTCTCAGTCATTTTCTCACTATTTTCTTGATATTTTTATTTGTCGCCTCTATTGCTCTATTCATCTTTGGTCGATAGATAATAGAGTTGTGATGCTTTATGTTGAATTGTTCACATGCAGTATCCATCATTTTGTTGTTTAAATTGGTTACATTATCGATAATGATCTTTTGCGGTAAACCATACCGACATATGATCTCTTTTTTCAAGAATTTACAAATAGTAGACTGAGTGACATTAGCGTATGATGAAGCTTTCACCCATTTGGTAAAGTAGTAGATTGCCACAAGGATAAACCGATGACCATTTGAGGCTTTTGGGTGGATTTTTCTGATAATGTCCATGCCCCACATAGAAAAAGGCTAGCGAGTCTTTATCATATGAAGAAGACGAGGCGAAACATTTATTTTATCCCCATAGACTTGGCATTTATGACATCGTCATGGTACCATGGTTTTTTATCTCTCACTTCTTCAAAGTGATAGCATTGTGTCGAGTATTCGTATAAATGTATGTCGATTGAATCATGTCAGACTCCCCACTAGCCATGAATGTTGCTGCCAAGGTAGCTAAAGCATCAGCTATATGATTCTCTTCTCTGGGCATGTAATGGAAAGTGACTTCATTAAACTCTTTAAGTAGATCCCAAAATGATCTTTCTATATTCCATTAGTTTGGTATCTTTTGTTTCTCATTCTCTTCGGAGCTGATAGATCACTAAGGTAGAATCTCCATACACCCTTAAAGTCTTAATGTTCTGTCCAATAGCAACTCAAATCCCCAAAACACGTGCTTCATATTCCGCCATATTGTTAGTGCAATCAAAGTTCAATCTT